CTCACACCTCTGGGAGTCACTGGCTCTAAACTGCCTCTTTTACCCCCATGAGCCCAAAAGCTACTACTGCCAGTGAATTGGGAGTGTCTTAAAATAAAAGCACCAGGCTGTCAGTGACCCCAGGTTTGCTCCCTGTCACCGCAGACCAGAGCTGAGATGGCAGATGCCAGGCTGCTGCTTCAACCACTGGATTCCTTTGTCTTCTGGAGGGAGATTCAGCACTTCAGTTTTTGTGTCACTTGTCCCTACACAAACATTTCCCAGTTCTGGCCCAGACTGCAGTGGCTTTGGGTGCCAGTGGGTCCCAGGGGAGCTCTGTGATCCTAGAACTTGGACAGTCTGGGCTACTGCATTCCACGGAGAGGTATAAAGATGGCCAGAGTGCCAGCTGTCCTCCACTCAGTCTCTTCCTTCCCCTTTTTCCATCCTCTGCCCACTGCTGGCGAGTGACATGGATGCTTCTCTAAGGCACCATCAAGACATGGCTCTCAGAGTGGCTGCTTCCCCTCTGTTGGTTCACACACTATATTGAGGATCCCACAAGAGTCCTGAACCAAGGAGTGCTTGGACTGTGAGTGCACTGCCCTCCCACACCCACTGCCGGTCTTCTGGCTGCTCCAGAGGAGCAGGGAGTGCCCCAAAGTGAAGGCCACTAAACCTGCTTGAGAACTCCATGGGCAACTTGGGACCACATGCATCTCCCTGGCATCGTCAGGGACTGAACTTCAGGTACTAGGAGACATGCCTGCAGGCTGGACGCCATACCTGCAGAACTCCATCGTGTTGCTCAGGGGCACAGAGGAGAGACTTGTCAACTAATCTTGGAAGGTGAGGGACCCCATGTGGGTGGCTCCGAGCTGCAGTGCCACCCCTGCCTCACAGGAAAGATGTGCTTTGAGTGTGAGGCTGGGGCTCAGACAGGGAAGCTCCCCCTCATGGCACCATTACTGGTGAGTTTAGCTAGTTTAGGTATCTGCTTGAGGTCAGAAACCAGAAGATCTTGAGATAGGGAGGAAGGAGAAAAGCAAAACACTCCTGGCTGGGATTCTGACTGGTCGTCATCCCAGATGGCTTGGTGGGGCCACTCAGCCCCTCCTTGGTGGCTTTTTCCAGTGGCCTAGGAGCAGACCTTTGACCCCTGCTAAGAAAGCTCCAGGCCCAGCCTCTGTGAAGCCTCCAAGAAGGCTTGCCTGACCCAGCCCCACCCAGCCGCACTGCTTGACCCAACTCTGCTCTGGAGGAGATTAAGGACTCTGGGAGCTCTGGGCCTTACCCACCACTTGGGGGCATTCTAGTGCTTCTGGTGGACCAGAGCTGGTCATAGGTCCTCCCAAACAGCCCTACAGCTGTTAATACCTACTTTCAGGGAAGACAGACTGTCCAGCCCTTAACCCTTTACAGCTGCAGTCCCCAACCCGAAGGCTGCAGACCAGCATGTGGCATTTTAGGAACCTGACTGGACAGGAGGTGAGCAGCAGATAAGCAGCAAAGCTTCCTGTGTCTTAGCTGCTCCCTATCCTCACATCACTGCCTGAGCTCCACCTGCTGCCCAATCAGCAGCATGTTAGAGTCTCATAGAGAGCAAACCCTACTTAAAGGGTTCATGTGAGGGGTCTAGGGGGTCAACATCAGGAACCAAGACAACTGTACCGATACGTACATGTGGTGCATGTCCAGTCTGTGAACTTAAGGAAGTGGTCAGTATAGGGAAGTGACCAGCTATGATGGGTCTCCTGTCCTAGCAACAGTCAAGTGGAGAGTTCATTCAAGGACTCAATACCATTCCCAATACCTAGGAAAAAACTAAAATAGCTAGTAATATACTTAACAAAGGAGGTTAAAGTCCTCTACAAGAAGAAAACTATAGAACTTTGATATAAGACATCACAGGTGACACAAACAAATGGGAAAACATTCTCTACTCATGGAGTGATAGAATCAACATTGTTAACATGTCCATACTGTCCAAAGTGATGTACAGATTCAATGCAATCCCTATCAAAATGCCAGCAGCATATTCCAAGATCTAGGAAAAAATAATTCTAAGCTTTATGTGGAGCCCAAAAAAAGCCCAAATAGCCAAAACAATTTTATGTAAAA